GCCAGTGAATAGACGTCATCCCCGTAGTACCCATGCTTGTTGTATGATGTCTGTAACATATGGTATATTTCTCGATGCATCTGTTCAAGGGTGAAGTGTTATTTTAATTTGCATGTTAGAAGGATTCATAAACCCTGGCAATTTATCACAGGGACGTATGTGCAGGTAGTGGCAAAGTCCATGTAATGGTTGGACACTCAGGGATGCTAAGCACCTGCTGGTTCCATGGAGCTGGGATTTGTCTACATCGCATAAAAACAACCTGATATAAATGATGGTGGAAAGAAGAGAGTGCTGGATCCAGTGTCAAATCAGTGTCTGTTTCTAACTCTGCCAATGATTTCCTGGATGAGTTTTAATTGTCATGTCACCGTATATGTCTCCCTGCCTCCATCTGTAGGACAGAAGCCTTGTAAAGTTGCTTGTTTTGTTGATGTATTTATTAATGCTTTGACATGCTCAGATTTTCTGGACACGCTCTCGAGAACTGCTCAACATTGTTTGGGATCTGTTTGGTGCAGAGTAAAATACCCGTGTGTCATCACTGGAAACTGAAACCCAGTGCTCGCCACAAAAGAGCTTCAATGCAGGCAACTGTTCAGGCCTTCTCTGTGCTGTTTCTTTCAAAACTGAAACCATCTTGAAGGAAGCACCCACCATATATAGAGTGTCTCATTTTCATGATTCACTCAGCTGTAAATATCTGGCATTTCCATGTGATTTCTGTAACACTAGTGTTTAGTACTTCTTTGTAGAAAGTTTTGCAAGAATGGCAGTAGTTATAAATCTTGATTATATCTATTACGGCAGTCTTTGTATTGCAAATGCTCGTCTGTCTGACATGGCATCCACTAAAGGTCTCTGCTCTCTAGAGGACAGCTTGCCCAATGGATCAGGTCTCCCAGGATTCGCAAAAAAGGCTCTCAGGATCAGCTGAGCTCTGCGCACAATACTTCGTTTTATTTTGTTTCATTTTGATTGGTTCAGATGGTCCAAATATTTGCAGAACTCCATTAAGTCCTATTTGGGATGAAGTCATAAGTTCCACTCTCCACCAAGGCATGGAGCCTGTCCAAATTAGTGTCAAAGCCTATATAATACCTTGGCTATATTGTAGGCTTGTATAGTATCAAGATCCTGTTTTCACAGCAGTTACATAGTTGTTACTCCAGTGAAGAATGATATGGCCCCTTATAAAGTCCACAAGCTGACGTCTGTTTTTTAATGTAATATTTACACTATTCAAGGAGCTAAATGAAGGCTTTGCTTTAATAGGTTCCTTCAGCTAATGTTTTCCCTTATACAGATGGGTTATTGTTTCCAGCTTTTGATACCTATGTGGCTTTGTATATTAGGGCCTCATTTTTTGGTTTGGCTTTTTTTCCCCCCCTCCTTCTCTGTCTCCTGGAGCAAGGGAAGGGTTTTGCTATTATCATGAAGTTGCTTTGCAGTTTTCTCTGGGGTATTTTTTGAGGGTCAAAACCCTGAAGACACTAAAACCAAAACATAGAAAAAAACCCAGCACCCTGTTGTTGCCCCACGCACCCTGAATTGCTTTCTATTTTTGACGTATCTTACCCTCTCTGAGAGGAAAAAAGGTACAGCAATTTCTTATCATGGGCAGATCTCACATAATTTAGGCAATGAAATGTGTGGGGTTGTTTTGTTTGTTTTTTTTTTCCCAATGGCTCTGATGCTACAGGTGTGAACTTGTCTCTCTTTTGAAAATGTTGCCCAGGTGATTGCTATAAACAACACTGTGCCACCTAATGATTTCATGGGGCTGGACAAAAATCTATATGTTCATCCCAAGTATAAGTAGCTTTCTGGGGCTTTATAAGGGCAATAGAGTGCCAGGTTTTAAGTATATAATCACATTCATTTTAGTGAAGTAAAACACGCATTGACAGCTGTAAAATTCTGGTCTGAATAAGGAGTGTGGAGGACAACTGAAATTAGATGGACTTTTCTGCTTAATATGCTTTTGTGACAGAACAGCTTCAGAAAGTGAGGACTACATAGTGCTAAAACTGTTTTAACTTCAGCAACGTACAGCTTCAGTCTGGGCTTTAGTTCAGAAAAAAAGCTTACACTTGCTGTGTTCCACTCCAACCAGTTTTCTCCCAATTCTAATTAAAACCAAAACACAAGACTCACAGACTCAGAGTTCAGACTAATTTGTAGTGGACAGAGAATGGTCAAAAGCAGGATATACCAAAGACCTTATCTCATTTGCCAAGCTAACCACATATACAGATATACTTAAGGGAATCAGAGTCATCTTATCCTTGGTTCTGATTGTGAAATTTCTAATGGTTTGTCTTCAAGTAGGAAATTATTCAGAACTCTGATTATTTTTTTTTTTTAGTTTATCAATCCTGATGCTCTTCAGCCTGTGTGTCTAAACTAGACATCTAGAAAGGTTAGTTGCAGCATTCCAGCAGTTATACATTTTTTTCCCCCTAAAGAATGTTAAGGAGAAAAAGTATTGTAGCATATTTTGGGATATAAATGATGAATACGGGTAGTCCTTAATTTACATGTGTTTATTTCTGAACTTGGAGTTCAGAATGGAGGCAGGAGAAGTATAGGGCACATATGTATGCCCTGTTCTGACAATGTTCTTGTCACCTGTACTCTGCAAAAAATTATAGCTGTTACTTGGGCTTTTATAATTCTTTGCAGAGAAAAATTTCAGAAGGGCATATGAGCACACCTTGCACTTCAGATTGGTGGCTCAACCTGGTTCCTTGCAGAATGACCTTACTTCACTGCCTCTGGATTAGCCCCCGTCTCTATTGTTCTCTTTGGGGATGATAAGGTTATCTTATAAAAATAATGCTGTATTTATCTATTGTATGTTTCAATTTATTTTTCCATCATCAAGGTCATATATCGACTTTTGCAGGGGAAGTTAAGGTCTGCTGAGTGTGAAACTGTTGTCAGGGTTATGACTGCCATGACATACTCACAGAAAAGGGGCAGCAAAAGGCAGTCTACCAATAACATGTGGTATGGCAATTCTAACTGGCCATTGATAGGGAGTTGCATATTTCTGTAATGTGTCGTTTGACACAGATTTCGGTCCATTGCATTCCTGAAAAGTGGCCAGGAAAGAGAAATACAGAAAATCAGCAGAACTTCTCACTTAATTTGAGAAAGGTCACCTTGTTCTTAATTGTGCTATTTATTATCATGAAGTGGTGGGTACATAGCAACTGTGGATGTAATTGGTATCTCTTGCCGCTTTGACAGCCTCTCATACTTTTCATACAGTGGTACAGTGGTAGTCTACCATATGATGCTTTGTTTAAATCTTCTGCTCTTCTTAATTGTTTGGTTGGATGCAAGGGCTGAATAAAGAGTTGTGATCTGCCTAGGATGTGCCTGTACTGCAGTTCTTTGCTAGATGGGGACAAAACTGTTTTGTTAGTATCGTAAATAGAGATAATCCTTTAATTTACATGTTGAAAGAACAGTGAAATGAAGAGAGGGGAAGGAAATATCCAAGTCTCAGTTGTGATTTTGTTTTGAATTCTAAATATGAAGATTTTGATTTGTGCAGCATTGTTGCCATGTGTTGGTATGTAGCCTGGTAGCAACTTGTCAAGTAGCAACGTGTTTTCCAAATGTGACTCAGCAGGGAGCATGTAGAGCTATTTCTCATCTCTAAACCAAACCGTTCTGGAATAGCTGAGGTACGCTGATAGACCTTCACATGTAGTAGTGTTGTGTATCTCTTCCAGAGTAACTTTTCTCGAATGAGTAAGCATTTATACACAGACAACATTGGTGAGATCCACAGTCTTCATAAACCTTTGGACATCTGTAGGATGAGTCAAGTGGTTCAATCTTATCATATGCTAGGAGTCTTTATGTAAGTTATTTGTAGTTTACAATGGTAGATTAGGATCCTAGAAATCAGTCCTCATTTTGCCAGTGAGTGTTACACCTATCTAGAAATAAATAGCCACATTAGAATGAAATCTCATTTCCCTTGAGTACCCAAGGAACAAGAAAGAATTGGTTCCTGAGTAGGCTTAGGTCTTCCTTTAAAAGTTGAGCTTGTTTGATCTTAGTCTAGTGAAGATGATTTCAGGTGGATTTTTTTGGATTATAGAAGGATTAATACTGCTCCTACTGTAACTGAGGTGATGCTGTTCTTTTCCTTTGGATGTTCTGAGGTTGTGCTTAACTTTTTAGAATAGAATAGAATAGAATTGAATAGAATAGAATATTTCAGTTGGAAGGGACCTACAATGATCATCTAGTCCAACTGCCTGACCACTTCAGGGCTGACCAAAAGCTAAAGCATGTCATTAAGGGCATTGTCCAAATGCCTCTTAAACACTGACAGGCTTGAGGCATCAACCACCTCTCTAGGAAGCCTGGTTCCAGTGTTTGATCACCCTCTCGGTAAAGAAATGCTTCCTGATGTCCAGTCTAAACCCCTTTTTGGTTTATCACATCAAAATAAGGCAGTCTTTTAGCTTCTTTTCAGGTTCCTTAACTTGACTTTTTTTTTTTTTTTCCATAGCAGGTGTTAGACACCTTTGTTGGTGAATCCCAACATCACTCTAGCAGTAGAGAGGAAAAATAATTTATCAGATCTGTCAATATAAAGCTACAAAATGTAAACCTGTTTTCTGTAAATGAGCTGTCCTTCTACTTGGAAACAACATAGCATGTTTAAGGGACTGAGATTTGCTGCTTAGATGCCAAAGATAATTGTGTCTCAATCAGGCTTTATTACTCTGTGTTCAGTAACCTTAGCTGAAGGGGATTCTTTTTGTCTGACACAGCATGGTGATAGTGCTAACATTACACTTTCAGAAATGTTTGTAATAAATGCTATAAAACACATCTATGTGCATTGTACAGGAATACGGGGGGAGATACCACAATAAAGAACAGCGCAGGGAAGAATCTCAGGTGGTTCTACAGTGGCATTTCATCCTGTAAAGGCTCCTTGTGTAAGCTTGTTTAACTTTCTGTTTCAGGAACAAGAAGATCCTAATAAGCTTGCTACCAGCTGGCCGGACTACTACATTGACCGCATCAATTCCATGGCAGCAGTAAGTTACCTCTCCTGCAAAGCAGGGAAGGTTTCCTACCGTAGGGATGTTTCTTTAGGAAGAAGTACCCAAAGCAGAGAGAAATGTTAGCCCAAGTGCATGACTGACTGAAAATAGGATTTCCAAAAGAAGACGAGTATGTGTATTAAGAAAAAGCCCTGCTCTAGCAGAATAGATTAGAAAGCACCACATGCATTTCCAGTTTTTATTTCTACAATACTGATCACTGACGGCAATCAAATTAGACTCTGGAATAAAAATTCAGAGCTGGAGTAATGAGATTGATGATTGAAAATTATTTATGTGCCAGATGTGAAGCCTATCCCAAAGTATGGCCCTGATCCTTAGATCTCTGCTTGCTGGCACTGGTCCTGAAAAGAAGGCACAAAAATGGCTGTGGGCCTTTTTTGAATTCCTGTACAATTCAGCTGGCTTTAAACTGTAGTAGACCATAATGACCTTGAAGAGATTGTAAGGCTCTTGAGTGTTGCTGGAGCACAAAGGTAGTTCAGCTTTGACCCCTATTTTGGAAATTTTGAGGAACGTTAATGTAAAGCTAGCTTTCAGCACATGCACACACTCATGCTTGTGTCTTGGCAGGCTAGCTAGTCTGAAACTGTGACAATTGAAAGCATCTTTTTCCAAAACTGTACTTTTAACTGCACTTAGCATTTTTGGAGACCTGTGTGTCGTCTGGGCCAAGTAGAGGTGAAATAATTTGGTTCTTCAAGAGGAATCTTGAGTGCAGCCTGTAAGTGAGGATTGTGTGAAATCGTGGACAAGAGGGAACCAAGGCCCCTATTTAGCCCTTCAGAATAGAAGAACAAGAGAATATTTTATGAATTAGAAAAGCAACTATTTGAAAACTAGGTAAAATTTTGTTTTGTTGTGTGGTTTCAAATTGACTTCTAACTAATCTACACAGTAACAGTGGGTTTATTAGTCTAGTAGTAGAATTAAAGAAAAAGTAGTTGTTTATGTAAGATAATATCCAATTACACAAGAGCAGATAAGTAGAGGAACATAAAGCTGTAACACCTTAGACATCGGCTACAACCCAACAAGATATATGAGAAAAACTTTCTCTAATTGTCCTTGTTCAATAGCCGTATAATATGTCTCTTCCTCTGAAGCATCCAGTAGAGGTGGTCAACAGCAGAAGCAGAACACATGCATATAGCATCCACTGATCTCCTTTGATGTGGTAGATCTTAAATTTTGGAATCAGATCCTTTTACTGATTTTTATAACCAAATTTTGCCTCCAGTTATTTATGTGCAATGTCTACTCAGCTTTTTTTGGCCGTTGTGCAGAAGTGATGATAGAATTCTGTTCCTAGCATCTTAGGTAGCACACCTTATTTGTTTACTTAGGCTTTTATGTTTGATTTCTAAAGGAGAAAATAATTTCATAAAAATAATGCCCTAATGGATGCTAAATGTGTCAATACTGATGCATTTCTCTGGTGAAATATGTCTTGCTCAGTAAGAAAAATCAAGATTTACAAGTTGTTATAACTCACTGTAAGAAGATTAAAGAAAAGCTGCTTTCTACTGTGAGTCATGAATACCCAAAATGATCACCTTCCTTCATGCCAGATTTTCTTGGGGCAGGGTAGTGGAATAGAAAGACTATAGGCTTGTTTTGAGAAAAGAGATTGAGCTTTTGTGACTGGCATGGTACTGTGCTTTGATTTCCTGACTGAACCAATTTGCTCTACAAGGGCCATTAAGGAAAAAAATGAGTATGAAACCTTGCAATGTCACTGAGCCAAATACTTCTAGTAGGATTTGATCCAAGGCTTCTTGAATCTACTGAAAGTTTTTCCATTGATTTCAGTGACTTTTGGATTGGTCTTTAAATGATCTTGATGTAAACCTGGAGTGAATATGTACACGCCACTATTGTAAATCTGGAGCACTTCCATGGAATGAGACTATATTTTGGCCTATGTTTCTAATTTTAAACATGTTTTAAGAGCACCAATAAACACCAGCCCCGTAATGTTGTTTGCATGCCTCAGCACTGAATGATTGATAACCTTTTATTTGGCGTCAAGGCTCATGATTTACTCTTACGCTTGAAGTGTTAAGACGACACACTGGGGTTAAAACCCCTGCTTCTGATTTACCACTTAGTTGCTTCCCTTTTAGGCAGGTGAAACTTAGTTGACTTGATTTCACAGGAATTGTATCAGCGGAAAACTGGAGTAATCCAGCTGAGAACCAGCTCCAACACACTTTAAAAGACATGTTCTATTCATTATTATTTAGACCTCTGAGATTCTTAACTTCCAAATGGTTATTTTGGGTCCCTTATAATTTCAGTCCTAAATTTAGTGGTGGGGTTTTTTTAATTATTTTTTTTAAACTGCATCCAAGTGGAGTTGGCTCAGAAGTGGTAAAAGAAAAACATGTTTCATGTTCCTTCCTGACACTGTCTAGTCTATTTCAGTTTGCGTCTCTTGGGCACTATCAGGTACTGCAATATTTTAATTAGAAATATTTCAAGAAGTATTAGAGTTGAAATAGTAGCAATAATCACACTTAAAATGCCTTAAGTCTTGTTGGTTTTTTTTTTTAAATAATCTTTGCATCTCCTGTGAATTAACTGCATAAGAATCTTTTTACGTGCGGCTTTCACATCTTTTTCTATGTCCTTTTGTTTAATGATGAAGTTCTTTTTCAAATACTAGCTTGGCAAAAAAGTTCTCCCTAGTCGCTGATGAAATGGAAATGGCACCTTTATCCTGCTGATATCATTAAGTATCTTTCTGTGCGTTTCAGCGGGCCGAGGACCCTGTGCTCAAGGATCACTTTCTCAGAAGACCCACTGCAGTGTTACCCGTCATATCTGCCCCTCATAGATTACGCTGGAGAGCGATGTGGTGATTCCTGACATGTTTGACATTCCCTACTTGTAACCTTAGATCACTATGTTAGGAAGCGCTTTAGGTCACAGATTCCAGATCCAGTTCAAAAAGCCACGCATTTTAGGCACAGTTCTGTTCCCACAATTGTTTCTGTTGCTGTGACTTTTTAGATTTTAATAGTTATGAAAAAAACCACCTAGTTTTTTTTAAACTAGTTTAAAAAATAGTTTTCAAACCCAATTCTCACGGGAGCATATGACAGCAAACTGGATCTCTTTACTAGTCTGTAGTGTGCAATTCCTGTGGAGGGACTGTTCCATCCTTCAGGTAGCCTGACTGAAAGGAAGAGGCCAAGTAAATCATTGGTAGAGTATCTTCTAGACCAGTCCTTAAAAGAAAGGGACAGCTGCTAATGATGTCTAATTTAGAAAGAGGAGCCTCCAAATTTGCCCAGTCCTCTGATGTCTACATGCTATAAATCATACTGGTCACTGTGGGTAGAAAGGACGCCCACAATCAGAGACCATTTCCATTATCAAGGTCATTGTTGTCTTCTGCTGATTCATCAACACACAAAACTTCTTTTCTTAAAAATGCAGCATCTGCCCCGTTAATATCACACGTAAAGAAACCTCCCTGTGCTCCTTGTGCCCTCTTCACCCCATGATACTCTCTGCTTGGCAGCACAAATAAACACAGACCTGACTTCACTGGGAGGAAAACTTCTGACAGCACTATGTTGCTTTTACGAGCTTGGCTGTGTATGCATTTCCACAGAGACCTTCAGGTGAACAGTAGTTGCAGATCCAGCTTTTCTGGAGAGATGGCTTGGTCGAGAGTATGAGACAGGGGTCAAGATTAATAACTATGGCTGTAACCAGGCCCTTTTCCTTTCCTTTTCAGAAAGCATTTGCTCAGGGCACAGCAGCTTCACAGGACATTAAAATTATATATTTTTCAGCAGAATTTAGCAGGTGGCTGATAACTCCTCCCTCCGGGTTAGGTGACATCTATGTTACTTTAAATTTATTTGCTTAAAAACTCAGTTTTTTTTAATTACATCTATTCATAGTTTATTCTCATAGTTCAGCCTTAATGTAGTTAGAGAGGTGGTGCACCTTGAACTACTAGTGACTTGTTTCTTTGAAGAAATGTTTTAAAGTACTATTGTCCAGACATGTCACAGGAGGCATGCAATACCATATTTTTTTAATCAAATTTCTATTTTAATTTTAGTTGTATTTGCTTATGACCTAGAAGTGATTTCAATAGTGATAACACTTCGTTAGTTATGATTTTAGACAAGATCTAAAGAAAGAGAATGAGAAATCAGAACATCCAGGTTGCTTTTTCTCTATTTATTATACTTGCTTCTTTTTTCATTTTATTTGTGTGAGACTGTTAAGTAAAATTAGGTCCATCATACAGTGTATTGCTGATGCTAGTTCATGCCCTTTTTTCTTTCTTTTTTTTTTTTTTCTTTTTTTCCTCTCTCTTTCTCACACATACATACTGTCATTATGGTCCTGTATCTTCGTTCCCAGCCGTTTAGGGGAATGATTAGCCACATCGAAAATATTTTATTTTATTTTAAATGGAGCCAAATTTTCCAAAGTAATTTCTTGGAGTACCTGAAGTTTTACAAATAAAATTCCATGTGAATGATTGTTTTCACAAACTCATTAATTTTTTTGAATTGGCAAATCAAGTTACTAGATGCTATACTATCCTGGGTGATGCCCTTAATTTGGAAAACTTTAAATATGCAAAATGTGCTTATAAAAAAGAGCCTTATGTATACCACTTTGTAAGGACCAGATAAGGACCTGGCACTATTTTGCTTCCTCTTCCTAGTATGTTTGTTTAACTGATATTAACTAGCTGCATCCTCAGCACAGCAGACGTTAGTCCTTGAGTGCAGTTTGTAGTTTAGGAAAGCAATTCATCAGTCAGCCACATTAATGGAATCCAGCCTCAAATAATGACAGTTCCCTCCCCTCTGTCTCCCAGGGACAGTTATGTTTCCTATAACTCTTGCCGAGAAAGCTATTTCATAATGCAAACGCGTGAGCAGTCTGTCTTTAGAGAGGGCATGAGGATTTGAGTTCCTGGCCATGCGCGTGAGTGAGAAATGAAAGGCTCTTGGCTGCCTGCAGCTTAAGAAAAGGGGTTTTCTATAATCACCCTCTGTTGTAAAGGCAGGATTATTTGTATTTGTTTCATTTGGAAATGGGCCTTTTTCACTCTGAACGAAATACTGTTGAGCACCTTCCTACCATCCATTTGCTTTTCCCCCACAATGGCTCAGAGGAGAAATTAAGTCGTTGGAGGAATGGGAGCTTTTCAAAGGAGCATTTATGGGCCAAAGGAAAGATGACCAGATGGGCTGTCACCCAAGAAAATACAAATCAAGCCCCAGATCACACCCCAGGACTCTGCCATTGAGATTCCATAATGCCTGTTCAGGATTTCTGTTTATTTTTCGAAGAGAGGGATCATATATGGCTTGGCTTAAGCATTTCAATTTATGTTTCTGGCTGTCGGGGGATGCTGGCAAAAGATAAAACATCATCAGCTCATTTTCCATCAGTAGCGCTCTGTCATTCCATTAGGGCAGGAAATAGCTTGCTCTGTTACTGAGTGAATTTGACTTTAGCGTGGATCAGAGAGAGGACCCCTAGAGTTAAACACATCTCCCTGTGCCAGCTGTTCAGCATAAGACAGCAACGGCATGTAGCCAAATGACCACCCTCAGGATCTGACATGTGTTGGCACCACATGGTTTGCAAAAGCAAGCAACATGGGAGCACTTCCAAGGGAAGTGAGGTGTTGCGGAGGGGGGGAGGGTTAAAGGAAGTTTCAGGGAGAGGAAGGTTTGCTTTGGTGATTGCTGAACAGGAAAATAAAGACTTAAATATTTTGCTGTAATGGGCCGTAATTGTAGCTACTCGGATTCCACCGCGGAGAGGTATAATACCAGATCCCTGATAGATGATACTAGTTTAATCGTGTTATTCATTTGAGAAAGGGGCTCAGAGCTGCTTTCCCGCTACCACTGAGTGATATCCCTCAGAAGTCCCGCCAATGAGAGAGGCATTTATCCTTTCTGCTTTACAATTAAAGTGATTAAAAAGACATAGCTATAGGCTAAGAATTCCCAGCATTGAGTCTTGACTTCTTAAAAGGTCACAGATTGAAGTTGTGAGCCTGACTGGTATATGCGGCGGGCACTGCAGAGCCTTGCTTCACATCACAAGATTGCAGTGGTGCTAAGTGTAAATCTGGAACTCTGATTTCCTGATATACAACTTTTTTAATGGCGTTGTCTGACCTTGAGGATGTTATTTTTTGCTTGTATTCCACTCATTGTCTCTCACCCTAATTTACAGTGACACGCAGCATCTTCAGTTCCAGTTGACTGCAAGCTCTAGTTATCTCAAGCTGCATGCTGGGGAAAAATCTAGTCTCTGTGTGCTTGTGTGCTTCATTTTACTCATTAAAAAATAGGGAGAGGGATTTTATGATGCTCCAGCTTTTTGCAGTAAATGTTCCTAATTAGCAAGGGCAAAGTGGGTAGGGAAAATTGGTCTCCTAAACCAGGTGATATACTTTGGGTGGGGGAGAAAAGTTAAACTTGTATGTACACAAACTGTAATTCAGGATACTTGCAGGCTGTTTAGTCACTTGGAAGAAAAAGCTTTTATGCTTTGAAACTTGACACGCATCTGGTTTTTTTTCCCTTTTTTCTTCCCCAAATCCCTGCAGTCATGTCAGTGTAATAAAAGATACTACCTCTCCCTACAAACTTTGCCTCACATATCCATAGATTACCACAGCAGACCACTGTTCCAAATTAGGTACAGTTTTCTGAGGACATACTGGCAAGTATGATTTTTGAGGGGGTAATCTGAGAACCTATTGCCAGAGTGGCAAAGCAGTATGCTGCTGCCAGTCCACATGAGCAGCCTCATCTGGATTCATTTTGTAGCCGAGGCGCTGCTTTCCTGGTTGAGGGGTCGGCAGGCACCTCTGCATGTGTTGATGGGGTAGTTGTTTTTCATAATTCCCAGCCTGTCTCTTAGCTTCCAGGCAGCCCGAGCTTTCCTGATTGTCGTCATCTTTTCTGAACAGATGCAGACTCTGTATGCTTTCGATGAAGAAGAAACAGAAATGAAAAATAAAATAGTTGAAGACTTGAAGACAGCTCTGCGGACTCAGCCCATGAGGTAATGTTGTTCGTCTTTCATCACAATTCACTGCCTCCCTATGGTCAGATGTGACACGGGAAAGAATGGCAAGGACAGAAACCTTATTGTCTCGCCTTGCACAAGCCTCTGATATTTCAGACAATCCACAGAGAGCCCTACAGTCCCTGGTCTGAACCTGCCTAGTTGGTAGGGCACACTAATGCTGAAGCATGTAGCTCCAGGAAAATAAAAGACAAAGTCTGCTGTGAAAAACCTGTGGCAGATCTGTGCAAACACAGGTAATGACTGTGAAGATTAGATTTTAGACTTCATAGCCCCCTGAATGTCCCATGTAATTTGATTCATGTTGGGCAAAATCTCAGCCTCTACTCTGAACTTTGAATTCAGGCTTCCCCTTATCTTTGGTAATGTGAACTGTTTGGTATAAAGCAGCTAATCCATCTGACATCACCTGGTTTGGCATTCTTCCTGGTCTACGTGTAACTGTGGCATAGAGAAATGTTAAGAGACTTTATTGTGTACTGTGTCTTTGAAGGCAAGGTCATCTTTGTTTTTCTGGGAGCAAAGCTCTGAACAATAGCAAACTAACTAGCATAGAAACCTTTTCTATTTAACACTTAGAAGAGCATTGTGCAGAAGTAATAACTATAGTTGATATGAACTCAGGAAACGCTCAGTCAAAAAATTTCTGAATATCTTTGTATTGGGCCCAAAATAGGCCAAATGTGTTTGCATCCACACTATGCTGAAATCATAGTTCCAGTGAGCTTCAGTAATGCCTAATCAAACGGATTATTATTTTTTTTTTAGGGGGAACCTAGCCAAACCAATAAATAAATAAATAAAAACTACGCCAAAAATATCTCAAAGAATTTATGTTGCAGTTACATTGACTTGAAGTGAAGATATTTCTGGGACTTCTTGCAGAGCTAAGTGCTGATTGTGCTTCTTCCCTTCATGAGGTTTAAAAAGTTGACTGCATGCAGCTTCTCACCTCATGGCAAGTATAAGGTAGAGCGCATCAGGTTAAACCTCAGTGTTTTGCCTCCTGTTGTGATGGGCTGTAAGAGCCAGATCCTGGTGCTCCTCTGAGGTGTAAAGATTCGTCAGGCTTTGGTAACTTTAGCGTGTGGGTAGGATGAGTGCTTTTAACATGGAAGTAGAGAAACAGTGGCCTATATTGAGACCTAGCCCAAGGGGATAAGTGCCTGTTTGATCCTGTCTGTTGCTATCCACAGTAAAATGCAGCTGGACTTTATGTTAAAATGGAAGCTAAGACAACTGCTAAGTCCCAACTCTCACAAGGTTTTTAAACCAAAGTCCTGTGCTGTTGAGACTTGATGTAGCAACTTGATGTAGCAACTCTATTACATTAACGTGGTGCTGGTTTGATGCTTTCTATGTGAAAGTGACAGCTTTCATTGAGCATAACCACAACAGCAAGGCCTCTCTATGTCCAGCTAAAACACTTTGGTGGTTGACCGTTGGTAGTACAGCCTGGCCTCCTGGTTGAGCACAAGGCAAAAGAGAAGAAGAAAGAGCAATGTCTTTTGCTCAAAGCCTTGCAGGGTTTTCCTGCTCAGACCTAACTGCTTCTGCTGGATCCCCTTGACAACAGCCTGTTGCTTCATCTGTTTATAATAACCCTAACAAGCTTCAGTATGAGCATCTATGAGCTGCCCTATAAAGTGTTCTCTTCTAAATCGCTGGCGATAGTTATGGGGCTTTTTTTTTTTTTTTTTAAACAGTTAAGCCAAGCCAAATTTTGAGTTAAGTCCTACGTCTCAACTAATTTCCAGCGACTCAATTCGTTAGCTGCCAAATGGGCTGCATGCCAATACCTGATCAACAAGCCAATTTCTTCTTGATGGAAAGGTTGCAGTAGAGAGGCCCTCAGCTCCATCAAATCCCAGTCATAAGCAGGACTATGCCCAAGCCTTCAAAATACTAGTCTTTCTAGTTGAATTTGGACATCAAATCCTGTTTTCCTTGCCACTTCTGTTCATCAGGCCTCTGAAGAAAATAGACACCTAAATTCACATGGAATGGACTGTCTGTAATCCATTTGTGATTGTAAGGTACACAGGGGCTCTGACCAGTAGGCTCCTCTTCTTGAACTCTTTGATCTAGAGAAATCAAAAGAGGAAAAATTCATGTGTTTGGCTCTGGGTTTTATTTTACTGTAGAACCGTGTCTTTTCTAGTACAAAATGCAGAGTAATGGTACTAATCTGTGCCTCTATTCCAACCCACCGGTCCTAACAGCAACAAAAACTGAAGGAGAACTACCCAAACTCAAGTTCCTCTCCACTTTGGAGAAAAGGTGATAAAAGCATCCCTGAGCAGCTAGTTGGCCCCCTTTGAGCAAGTGCATTTTGTTCTGGTATTTAGGAGCTGCCCTGAAATAATAAAGACAGGTTATGTCCCAGCACACAGGAACAACCCTGGCCTTAGAGAACAAAACCCCACATCTGCATCTTGTAAGGAAACACAGTTTCTTTTAGGTTTGTAAGAACTTAAGACTATAAACAAGTGTGATGACAAACTGTTGGACAGAAGGAGGGAGAGAAGAGCTTTTCTTTTGGTATTTTAGTGCCCAAAAATGGAGGTTAAGAAGTGCAGCAAAAGTAAAAACTTAAAAAGGACTGGAAAAAAAATCACTTTTTGGAACCCCAGAAAAATACTTCCTTTAGTCTGAATCATTGCTAACTCCCTTTGCTGTCTGCTTTTCTCCTTTTGTCTAACTCAGATTTACCTCCTGTTATTTTTGTTTGATTTAGCCATGTTGCATTCAAGTACATACTGGAGATGATCATTTATGCATCCAGCAAGCAAAACCCATTATGCTGAATTTTTCAGCAGTTCAGTAGTTGTCAGGATTATGCGTGCCCCCTGATTCAAAAACTGATGCTGCGGGGAAGTGTAGCCTTGCCTGTTAACAGGGTGGGAACATCCTGCTCTCTGCACACCCACAGCATATGATCTTTCTGTCTTTCCTGAGCGGGATCAAGTCTCACAGGGAGGCTGTCCCCCTCCCCTACACTTGGAATCCGTCAGTGGGTCATTACCTCTTGGGCTGCGCTGCATCTGTGTTTGGATGAAAGGTTTGTTATTAGAGTTAGCTAACTCATTCTGATCAGCACTCTCTAAAACTTGAAAGGCTAAGAGGCGCCCTGCCTTTTAAAGTGTGCTAAACTGGTCAAGTGAGAGACTGAGGTGAGGTTACGCTTTAATTTGCTTGTTTAGCACCTATTAAAACACACCCTGCTTTATTTACACTTGAGTTTTTGAATGTGTTAGCCAGAATGCATTGGCAAATATGCTTAACTTTACACCTCCTAGTCTAGAACAAGACCTTATTTTGCAGCATACAGGACGTATAGGATGGCAGTTAGTTACACACGTGTATATTGTGAGGAAGAAGGTACTTTATTTGTATGAGTTTTGTATGTGCACAGGCAAACCCTCCCCCCCGATACACACGTCCCTGCTTACAGACGTACAGATGCACAAACACCAGTGTGACGATTATGGCTCTCAGCCTGTCAGCTAAACTCCCACTTGTTTTTCTCTCTTGTACAGACATTTACACATGTCTCCCCACATACGTGCTCACACCAAGCAAATTCTCGTACTGAGAGTGCCTGCTGGCTCAGAAACTGCTATTGCTATTTCTTTGTCTTCCTCTTGCATGATTTCTGGCTTTTCCGGAAAATAGCGAACTAAATGTTTTGGAAAAGGAAGGTGAAAATCATAATTTGATTCCTGCTTCTGATCTCAGCTGAAATGGGAAGGTACTTGGTTTTGCTTCCTATTGAGTAATGCAGATTACTGTTTGCTCTCTGGATTAGGAAGAGCACAGGAAAATCCCGACATTGTTTTAAATTATGTCATTAATCAAGGTCTGTGACACACACCACTTTCCTGCGCGTGCCTCCTTTTTGGGATGATCTCATCCAAACAGTCCTAGAAAAATTGCTCTGCCAGTGAATTTAGTAAGGGATTGTACTTAATTGGGACAATGTGACTCTTGTGGATTTACCATTTTTTCACATGATCATCAGAGCAAGCTAAAATACATGAAGGTTGTAGTGCCTTGTATGTCTTGTCAAAAGACCAGGTGTTCCATCTGAAAGTATGTTTAAAGGACCCTTTCTTCAGCTGCTTCTTCAGGATGTTTTCTTTTGTCAGTAGAGCTCTATCTTCAGAAAGGTATCCAACCTAAGTCTTCCCAGAGCCCTGGAACTGAAAAGAACAGCAGAACATCAGTTGGTTGGGGTTTTTTTCCCCTAAAAGATGGAGGGAATAGCTAAGGTATAGGATGGATTCATAGAACTGAACTTTGGAATTGAGGAGGAGAAGGAGAATTTAAACTAGTCCCTCCATAGTAGAGGCAAAGAGCAACTCTGCGCTTTAGTCCCAGGGTTAGAGAAATACTCACAAGTCATTAGAATCATATTGTTTGGTAACAAGTTGAGTTTGTGCTTATTTTAGTTCCAAATACATCTTTAGCAGCAACTCTTTTAGCCATGAATGTACTTATTTCAGTCGTCTTTGGCATGCTGGCAGCTAAATGCATTACAAAAGCTGAAATAATTTTCAATCTTTCCATAATCAGTTTAAATAACAAACTGCTTTTAGTGACTTACCAAATTCCTGATGCACAATGTTGATCCCACTTTCTGGCCTGGAGGCAGAGAGGCTTTTGCTCCTATGATTTGTTAGGGTAGACAAGATGCATCCAAAGAATGTGCAATCGGACCTGTGTGAAACTTGGCAGATTGTCTTAGCAGGGTTCAACTAAACCTTGTTTTCATTTTTGGTGTGCACGTGTTCCTGTGTGTGCTTGTAAGCTCTGATATTCACTTTGAGACTCAGTTTTGAACAAAACCCAAACCTCAGACCGAAACTTTGTTGAAAGCACCAGGCTTTGCCATGTTTCTGGTCGAACTGCTGGCCCAAGCAAGCTGAAAGTTGGCAAATCCATCAGCATAGTGAGCATAACTTTCAGGTAGGCCCTGAAAATTCCTGTGTGGTGTGGGGTGTAACCACTGGAAGACCATACGTATGTCAAGTCCATATGATCCAGGAGATATATAAGTATAGCTCAGGTTTGTCTTGCTGATGCCGAGACATGAACAGAGCCCAGTGCAATTCAGTCTTTCGGTGTGGTGCTTCCATTACTGATGCATATTAGGAACAGCATTTCACTTAAGTACAGAAAAGAGAAAGATAGCACATTAGGAAGTATCCGACTGGAAGGAGGAGGGGCTGGGTTAAAGCAAAATGACACAGGCTTTTTTCTTCATTTGTTACACAGGTGGCAATTGCTAACAACCTTTCATTTGTTTGAGGTATCTTTCTACATTATGCTGTTTAGAGCGTGGTCATGGACATATTGTTGGTGTACATTTGTTGGTGTAGATTTTTGGTAAATTCAAATGTAATTCACGTGGGTTTGCATTTAGACGTTCTAAAAAAAAGTGTACCTATCTGAACAACCTGTTAGAGGAGGCAGGAGGTAAACAAAGCAATCTAGAGAAATTTGCAGCCCTTTTCGTATCTTTGAATCCCCATTTTTAAGCCTGGGAATTCTAAATGAAACACTGCTAGAATGATTGGCTTGAACTGACTTATATAATTCCATTCATTTCTATTGATTTGCCTAGGAGGCTGTCTGCATGGTCTAATTTAACCCATCTGGATTTTTTAACCCTGGCTTTCAACAAAACCTTAAACTTTTCCAAGGACTTTCTCCTGTATTGTTTTCATCTTCAGTTTCCATAATCTTAACCTGAAGAAAGAGAAATCTTATGGTAGAATGTAATAGAAACAGAACTCTAGTAATGTCAATAGTTAAAATAAACCTTTTCTACTATAGGTTCAGTCTTCAATGTGTCATTTGGTAACTGATTAATTCTGTATATCCTCTATTCATTATGTTTTTACTATGCATTTTACTACTGCAGGTTGACAGTGGACCTGTTCCATCCTTAATATACCTTCTCAAACTAAAAAAAAACAATCAAACAAACAAACAAAAAAGCAGCCAAGGCCATTATAGGAGCTTTGCCTTTTACTGAAGAACACGTACCTTTTAAACTTTAACTTTATATGTTCCTATATGTATATCACGGGATCAGAGTGTGAAGTCAGTAGAGCTGAGAGACACAGTGGTAATGAGTTTGCCCCTGTCAGTGTACCCACTCCTGGAGGTGGCAGCTGGTGTGTAGTATTGGCTAAAAATTTGACCTAAATCTAAAAATGGTTTTCGAGATAATCTGAACTCGTAAGTGTGGTAATGAGTCTGTATGAAAATGTATCTTGTGTGTATTAGCATGTATGTAAGATGTAGCGATTTGAAAGAATCCATTCAGCTTTGAAAATGTAGCAACTATTGGGGTGAACCACAGCAGGTGTTGGGTGGCAACTGCAACGAAGAACACAGCAACCCAACAGCAGGGTCGTAAGGTGATGCAATATAATTACCCTGAAACTGTGTGATGCACCATTATTAGCTGGTCTGTTTTCTCTCTTTTTTGTTTGTTTTTCTTAAATACCTGGGAATTATTCTGTGAACTTTAGGCTAAAAACTAGCCAGCTTTTACAGATGCAAGGTTGAATAATATGGTACCTTTTGAATAAATTCCCTTTGGTCTACTTTCCTTATTTTTCCTACATGTTGTTGTTTTGGGTTTTTTTTTCAGGTTTGTGACCAGGTTTATTGAGCTGGATGGCCTGAGCTGTTTGCTGAACTTCCTGAAGAGCATGGACTATGAGACCTCAGAGAGCCGTATACACACATCCGTTATAGGGTGTATCAAGGCACTGATGAACAACTCCCAAGGACGGGCTCATGTCCTGGCTCATCCAGAGAGTATCAACATCATCTCCCAGAGCTTACGGACTGAAAACATTAAGACCAAGATTGCTGTGCTGGAGATCCTAGGGGCTGTCTGCTTGGTACCAGATGGTCACAAGAAAGTCTTGCAAGCCATGCTTCACTACCAAGTCTATGCTGCAGAAAGGACAAGATTCCAGGTACAAGGAGGATACTTTGCCAGAAATACCCAGTATGATGAATCTCTGCAGGGGTTCATTTTTACAGTGCACGTATTGCAAACTTGCTAGGTAGTAAAAAGGCAATATTTCTCATTTTGTTGTAGGAAGGGAGGAAGGGCACTTCCTCAAATGGATTATCGCCTTTTTTTTTTTTTCCCAAGACCTGATTGCCTGTCATTAATGCTAGTTTAAAATCTCTATTTTACCTTAAAATTGGGGCTTGCTATGTTAAATTAAAGCTGCTAACCTGTTCCTACTCTAACCTGATGGCATTTTTGGGATGGTAATCATTTGTTCTACCCTAGAATCCAAAGCCACAGAATTCCAGGAGCCTCTGTCCTGATTTTAAAGCTCTTAATTTAGTAATAAACTAGTTATGGATGAAATAATGGAGACAGTGGATTAAATAATGAACAGCGGCGGCACTTCAATTGCCACTTAGCAATCAACTTGTGAATTGTCACCACTTAGCAATTGTTGTCTCAGATATCTTCCATTCAGAACACATAAGGGAAGCTCAATCTCGGAGACCTTGAGGTAGGTCAGTAGATCATTGACAGACTTTTATTGTGGATAGTGCTAGCTGCTACTGTAATGTTTTCCTAGTGAACTAAGCAACTTTACAAAAAGATGTAACAGAATCTGTTGCTGTGTATGAAGCTGTAGCTCCTAAAATTTGGGTTAACCTCACCCAATTACTGTTTGTTCTTGAGTGAAATTATAAGTGTGGTGTTGGGCCAACAGGCCCTGGATCCTGCTTTCTGTCAGCCATTCTCTCCCGCCTCCTCCCCAGCTAATGTGTCGGTGGATTTTGAGCTACAATGAGCTATGACTGTAGAATTGAATGGGGAAAAAGTCTGTGTTCATGAACAGTAGCTGCCAATGCTTGTTGTTTGGACTGAATGCACTATGGGATTCACTGACTGTGACTCAGACCTGAAACTGGGATGCAGGAGATCTTGGTTTGGTATTCACCTATGTGTAGCACGGCCAGGTCCACCCCTCTACGTGCACCGTCCCATCCAGTTTGCTCTCTAATAATGAGCTGAAATGGAGAATCCTTCCTGAATTAATTTGACATTTTTGTATACCTTGGAGACAGGTGGGGGTGACCTTAGATGCTCGGCAAAAAGCAGTGGTACCTCACACCTCTGACAACAGTTGTGGTCCTGTGTTAACTTATCCTTACTTGACCAAGAGACTGCTTAATAAGCCCACATGGGAGATAGATAGATGCTGAGTTTACTCAATGTCTCCTATTTGGGTTCTCACTCTCTCTTTTTCTTCTTTTTTTTTTTTTTTTTTTTTTTTTAAATTGGTTTAAAATTTACTCATTAGTTGAGATAAGTCATTGCTGAGTAAAGTGTGGTAGCACAGGTCTTGTGAGCTTTTGAGGAATCTGGTGTAACGATGTGCAGATGCTTACCAAATCACATTCATGAAAGAGTACTTTATAGAAATGCTTGCTTTTGTCAAAATGCTTTTCTGTTGGGGAAAAAATGAAAGATAAATGATGGTCTCTCTTTTTCTTTCTTAAACAAAAAAAAGCCCCAAAAACTGAAACCTAAAAACCAACCCACCCAAACCCCAAAATGATTTAGCAGATGGGATGTGTTCTTGTTTGCAATTTCTAACACTTGTGTCTAGATGCTGGAACGGGATTTTCCTCTGCACAAAGCAACAGCTTAAGTTAAATTTTGAGGATGTAAGTATTCACTCAAAGACATTCCTCATCCATTTTCGGTCATTTTCTTCTAACAGAGAGATTAAGGATTTTTTAAATGCTGATGAAACAAATACGCTCACAGTCTTTCTTGTGTTTTAGTGGAAGGTTCTCTGATACTCTAGGACTTATCAGTTAAGAAAGCGTTATATCTTTTTGCCTCTTGCTTTCCTATACCTGTGTGTCAGAATGGTCTTTCAGCTCATTATCAAGAGAAGCATCCACTGTAACTTGACTATGGAGGTATTTTATGTTGTCAGACGCCATTTTAAGAAACGGATGAGCTGGCAACTCTTATTTAGCTCTTACTTGTAAAATTCAAAGATGTGGTGTACAATGAAAGCCAGTGAAAGCCTTTTTTTCTTTATCCTAGTCCTGAGTATAATCTTCATAACCCAGACTTTGCAAATATCTTAAGAGGTCCTTCAGGTTTCAAACTGAACTCTTGGGGATGTGTTTCCTGTAGCTTGGGCAACTAGCAGCATCACACAGTGTATTGAAGTGCCCGAAGAATTTAGAGCTTGCAGCTTTAGGTTGACTTTAACTGGCCACACCTAATTACTGTTATGCTGAAAATGATCCCCCACAACTGGGGATCTGGCAGAACCAAAAACCGAGAATTCTTTCTGTGAAAAGTAATAAAAAATGAACTAAACTGTAGGAACAGGAGAAACATACTTTGAATGTGCAGAGTAGGAATTTATTCTTTTGGCTCTATGGCTCTCTGGTTCGTTATTGCAGGCTGATTCTAATGGGGGAGAAAAGGAAAGCAGGGAACTGTAAAGTCGCTGCTCAGTTTTTCTCTCGATCTAGCTCCATAATACAATGGCCAAATTAGAGACATAATACCTAAGAGGACAATAATTTCAAATTCTCAGTTTTGGAAATCAAACTCGATTCTTGTGAAGTAAAAAGCGTGGGGCTTTCTGGAAACTGTACTGAGCCTACTTTTATTGGAATATCCAATAAATAATTTACAGCTAATGCCAACCTCTGACAACTTCAGTGCAATTGTTGCTCTTCCTTAAGTTGCCTTCCTGACAACAGTGGTTGATAATATTCTTCATCCCTTTCAGCCACCTCTGTCAATTTATCCCTCCTCATCAATGAAAGCTGGCACTTTGTTTATGTACTATGTGTTTGGATTTATTTTCCCCTCTTGCAAATTGCAGTAAATCTAAGTGTCCCACTCTCCCCATATCATCTGTGATGACCAGCACAGTACTTTGAGGAATCAGGAGGTAAATATAAAAAAACCCTGTTCAGATCTACTTTTCCCCAACACAAATTGTTCTCTCTTTTTTTTTTTTTTTTTCTTTTTTCTTCTTGCAGAGAAATATCATGGTGGTGAATAAAATTTTGGGTGCATGGTTCTGCTTCCACTTCTCTTTGTAAGAAGGAGGAGGAGAGATTCAGAATTATTTAGTGGCAACCATCTAAAACTTGAGCTTATGCATAACTTGCTGATGACAACTTTAGCTTGAACACAGATTATTTCCAATTTGCACGTGCTCAAGTGTGGTGGAGTGATGTAGAGATCATGTATTTAACACAGTCACATAAAACACGGCATGTTTCATTCAATGTTATTGCTGGTCAGTGTTCTAAGCACAATTCTTCCTACCTGGCACAGCTAGCCAAAAGTAGTCAGAGGTCCCAGCAACTGGTGAATTAATAGAGAAGGAAAGCTTCAACTTAAGATACAGGTCTTACTAAACTTACATTGGATCTGTCTTGCTCTAACTCCTACTATTTGAACAGGAAAAGGAAACTTACAGTTTTATGCTGGTGTATCTAAAGTAAAAATCCAAATTACAGCAAGATTCCAGAGTGATATAAACACTTGTAATCCCAATTAATTTAACTAAACTGCAGCAGGTGATACCAACTGAAGACCACTAATCAAACTGCTGAAATATTTTGGAAAGGATGTCCTTGCTTTTTGATGTGTTCTTTTTTAAAAATTGAAAGTAATGAAAAATATAGATAGAACTTTTATGAATATGAGGGACTATCTCCTAACAAAATTTCATATTTTGCTCTGAGTAGAAACTCTGATGTAAAATTATGCTTCTTTCTAAATTGCCAGCATTTACATAAAAATGACTGCAATAATCAATCTCATCCTTAACTTCAGAGAGGAGTCACTTTAGAGTTATGGGAGATTCTCCAGAACTTACTCTTCTTTGTTGAGACTTCAGTCTTCACTCGAATGCCTTTTAGTGCTACAACTTCACCCTGTACCTCTGCTGCTGAGTGCGTTCACAGGTCTATCGGGATCATCTTTGTCTTGGCACTTGCAACAAGATTCTATACTTTATGTTTGTGTCTGAATTTATATTGTGGCTATTCCTGTTTTCTCATATTTGCTGTAGCATCTTCCCTGTGCCCTTTGCCTGCTTTAATCTTTGACCCTTCTTTCATGCTGCCCTTCTGCTTGGAATAATTCTCCCTTTAATATCCAATAGGCAGTCTGCAGGTCCTCTTTTAAGATATTCCTTGAGAACTGTCCTCTTCAGAGTAGTATTCCATCTTTACTCAAATACCACAATAATATAAAGGCATGCCTTCAGTCTCCTTCCTGAGGCAATCTGGAAAAGCTCTGTCTTTGCTTCATCCAATTTTTGTTTGAAATATGCTTCTTTGCCTACAAATTCTACTCTGCCCCTTAAAGAGGAGAGATGAAAGAAAACATTGGAAAGCCACACAATAAAGCCTCAAAGCAGAAATGTGGAATTAGGAAGATGAGCCCTTGGTGTCCTTGCTGGGATTCTTTTCCATCTGATGCGTTCAAAATTGACACTAGTGTAATTTTGTCACTGGCTCACTGCGCGACCATGAAATTGTTGCTTTATGTTGAATTTCTTAAGTGCTTTTCTTGTGAAGATGGAGGTTTCTAAAATGTTACGAAAAATGAGAGAGAAGAGTGTCTGCTCTTAGTGTCATTCATGTCTGCATTATCCTATTTATGACTGGTTTCCTTTGTGAAAGGGGCACAATCCTACTCTTCCCTACATTGTTGCCTTTCTGATTCTTGGTATGCTCGCTTCTTCCCGTCATTTCATCTGTGGAGTGAAGGCATCGCGGTATGACATTGTAACATGTTGTACTTTTCAACATGCTCTATTTTGAGTCAAACTAATGTTGCAAGGTCATAATGCTGTACTGGCCCAGAAAAGTGTATCAGGATGTTCCAGTGCTCTTCCAGCCTAGTTCGCTGTCTGAAACAGCCACTCAGCTGAGGACCCCTATGGGGAGAAGGAATTTTCCCTTTAGTCTTGAGAGAACCTAGGTGTTAGATACTGTCTGAAAGGAGCTGATTTCACTTGCCGATGAAAATATTAACTGGGCTGCTTTGGGCAGAACACTCTTGTTTTCCTCCTTAATGCTGCTAGAAATTTTGAAGCTTGAGGTGAAGGAATAAAGGAAGCTTGATATTTTTGGTTGAAAAGGTGGCGATTAGGAGCACTTCTCCCAGAGCCCCCTTGCCTGGTTTGTGTTAAACGACATCAGTACGGACCGTAATCTGCAGGGAGAAATCTAATCAATTTGGAATTGTAGTAGAGGAGCTAACAAGGAACAAATTAAATCCTGTATTCCCACTTGATTTGCATCTTCCCCTCAGGGCTCATCCAAAGCCTTTTGAGGTTTGCTGCAGATTGAATGAAACCCTACTGGATGTCAGTGATGAGGAATAATGGGATTAAATGAGGAAAGTTTTGCTTAAATAGTAGGAAAAACCTTTACAACCATAAGATCAATTGGGCCACAAAACTGGCTGCCAAGAGGTGTGGTGAAATCTTTTTCACAGGAAATGTTGAAGCGAAGACTTGAACCACAGCCATTTGCAAAGGGTTAGAGGTATTGGAGTTAGGCCACAGTGTGTGGGTGTAGATTCTGATGTTTAGGAATTGAATGAACTTATAGTGTTTCCTTCTAGAGCTGAACAATCTCATGAAGATGTGCTGCTCTTCAATTAGCTTAGTGCAACCCAGAGTCTCTGTTTTTCTTGCCCTGAATTTGGCTTGGCCCCCACTGCATTCTGCTCCTAGTCCAGCCTTCTGAAATGGGGGATAGAAAACTTTTGTTAGCATCCTTCAACCTGTCTGGTTGCTGTATCTGACATGTTGTTGCATAGAGTCTAGCATGTTCATAAAAGTCTGTGAGAATATATGGCAGGAATAAGGCCCCTGAAGAAAACCAGCAAAACGATCATTGGTTTTGATGCTTCTGTAGTAATGGCTACATTACATGGCTAAGTAAATTATTCCAAGAAGACACATGCTTTGGATTTCAGTGTCAAATCTGACAGTAACAGAATTAAATTCTCACATTTATTTCATTTCTGCTTATTTGGCGAGTTGGGTTTGTTGGGGAATTTAAAGACCTCTTAAATAATCTCCTATTGTCATTGTCGGAGGTAGAATGCTGAACTCAACTGACCCTCAGTCTGACTTAGTTGGGCATTTCATGTCTTTTTATGCCAGACTCATTCCCATTTCTAACAAAATGGGGAAAGGGTTGGTATTTGGCATAGTATAACTACTGGGAAATCATGGATGTGGTGGAAATTCGAATGCCAGGAGTAGGGACATTTGCAAGTGCTAGCTGGGGAATTTAGAGGATGCAAGAAAAAGGAGTTTATGAAATCAAGCTTGCTTGATAGTGAACATACTATGATCTGATATAAGAACAGCTGTCAGTTGCAGTGTATGCTAGATCAAAAGATTTTTACACAAAAACAAGCAAAGGGTTTGCATGAAGCCAGGAGGGTATTCTTTCCCCTGGGGAATGCAAAGGAGGATATTCCCACTGCTTCTTGAGGCACATCTCCGTGGTGATGTCTGTTTTCTACAGGAAACAAGATAGACCTATGAAACTGATGACTAGCACAGGAAAGATTTTGCTGTGAATGAAGACTTTCGGTAGCCAGGGACAGAATACTGATTAAAGGAAAATGAACTTCCTTACTCAGCATCATAGCTTCAAAATATTATTTAGATGGTTCTGCTTAGCTGAACACTAAAAAGCTATTTTTTTCTTTGTTCTCCCTTTATGGCCAAAACTTCTTGGGAAGAGTAAAAAGAATTCTGTCTTCTCTAGTGTGTCAGCAAACCAAATATATGAGTGTAAGGTGTTTATTATTAGCGCTGGAGTGAAATGCATACAATTGAACTGTTAGATCTCAAGTGGAATTTGTTACTCTTCCAGTAAGGAAAATCATCCTTGAAATTGTGAACTGATCTGAGAAGATCCCGAAGAGAAGATTCATTGTCATCAGCACTAAGCTAAAAGTACAGTTGCTCTCATGGCTAATCAGTAAATATTCAAGTGAAATTAATCCTAAATAGGCTGTGTAAGGCACAGGCTACCAACATTGTCTAGTCTTTTTCTCCTTTGTCTCCTGATGTTCAGATTATGGTGAAATATCTATAAGTATGCTTAATAGGGAGACATACACTCTCCGGGGAGACGTTATAGCAGCCTTTCAATATATAAAGGGAGCTTATAAGAAAGATGGAGAAGGACTTTTTACCAGGGCCTGTAGTGACAGGACAAGGGGTAATGGTTTTAAACTAAAAGAGGCTAGATTTAGATTGGATAAAAGCAACAGATTTTTTTATGATGAGGGTGGTGAGACACTGAAACAGTTTGTCCAGAGAAGTTGTAGGTGCCCCATCACTGGAAGTGTTCAAGGTCAGGCTGGACAGGGCTTTGAGCAGCCTGGTCTAGTTGAACAATGTCCCTGCCCACTGCAGGGGGCTTGGACTAGATGGTCTTCAAAGGTCACTTCCAACCCAAACCATTCTGATTCTGTAACAAGGAAACTGGGGCTTAACTGTACTTCCAGTGGAGCTGTGTAATTCACCTTTGATCTTTGGAGCTGTATGCGCAGGGGTTATTCCTGTTATTTGCAAATTGTCTGCTTCATGTGAAATGTTTGTAAGTGAAGGAACAAGGAGACATCTTCCAAGGTCCACGTATAGGTTTTATTCCTCAAAAGACAGCTTCTCTTTAGAATTCTCTGTCCCTGTATACGAGTGAAATCTATCCTGCTAAGATCCCAGAAAATAATGAAAATCACTTAAGTCGTGTGAGTAGAAAGGATGTATGAATCTGATGCTATTTTTCTGTGTGTATAAACTCCCTGTCATATTCACCATACAAAGTTAACTGACTAGGACGGACATCATTCTGCTGCTCGCTAGATCATGTTGGCAAGAACAATAAAGGGCATCTGCTTTTTCTCAAATAATGGCTTTTTTTAAAAAAACTGTATTTTTCTGTTAGGATCAGGTAGGCATTTTATTCCTATCACTATTATTCATTTGTTTATTGTGTCATGCCCTAATCTGCTAACAGCCTTGTCTGAAAGAAATTATTTATTTAAGCAAAGATAGAGCAACTCGAAAGAAGACTGTGTGCATATCCCATGAGCGGTATGCACAATGGCGCAAGAAATTAGATTATATCCTCTAACCTAGCATGCTGTTCCATTTCAGACATTGTTGAACGAGCTAGACCGAAGCATGGGGCGATACCGAGATGAAGTAAATCTCAAAACAGCCATCATGTCCTTTATCAATGCTGTTCTGAATGCTGGTGCCGGTGAGGTGGGTCGCTGCCCTGGAAATTCCTTCTCAAATGTTATGCTTGAATTAATTTACCTTGGAAATGGGTAGTAGATTGTCACAAATCTCGTGGGTTTGAGTGGATATAGTTTATGGAAAATAATGTTTAATCGTTAATATCAGTCTTATAATGTCTTCCATATTATTTCATTGCCAGCCTCTTCTAATATAACATACACTACTTGCACTGAAATGATCTCTTTTGGGTTTTGTTGTTGGTTTGTTGTTGGGTTTTTTTTAAGAACTGCAAAGCATTTACTTCTTGATTTTAGCCTTTTAGAAAACATTTTTACATTTACCTTCAGAAATGTTTTGAAATGTTAAGTTGTTTTGACTCAAAGCCAAACTCAAAACGTTTTAATTTAAAAATGTCAACAGGACAGATTTCAGAAAAGACAGTTTTTGTTTTTCTTTCATTAACAAGACTTTATTTTAAGGCAGGAGGATAGTTTAAACTGATTTTGTTTCATTAAAATTGTTACTTTTGTTACATTGGCTTTTCTTCTTCTTTTTTTTTTGTTGTTAAACCACAACACAAAACAAGCTCATGAGAACTCTGTCTGGTCATGTATTTGCCTCTATCTGTGGCAGTCCTGTGACATCCCACTGAATAGGTGTCAAGTTTGCCAGAGTATATGGTGTTCTTATGATAAATAAACACAAAAGCTAGGAGGAAGACTGCAGTACTACTCATCTGTGAGCAGGAGCTGCACCTCTGATGGACTCACAGGACAAACACTAATAACTTTTGCTCTTTATGGAACAAAATGGAGTTTGCAGTCCTTTTGACTGGGCATGCAGAACTCATTGTAGGTAAATGAGGGCTGTATTTTTAATTGAAACAGAGGAGAAGACTTTTTTTTTTTTTTTTACTTTACTGGAGTTAATCCTCCTGTGAATTTGGTGTCAGGATAGATGATATTAAAAAGGGAAGAACTGAGGTTTTAAGTATTTTTTTTTTTAATGCGATAACAGCTTTTGGAGCACAATAACTTGATTTCCCCCCCACTTTTTAAGGACAATTTGGAGTTCCGATTACACCTACGATATGAGTTTCTAATGCTGGGAATTCAACCTGTCATTGACAAGCTAAGAGGACATGAGAATGCCACACTAGACAGGTAAGATGTTTTCTAAGAATAGCAATTGATCAACAGAAAGAGTTCTTAGAAAGTCTTCTCCCTTTGGGTTTCAGATTTATGCACAAAGCTGTCTCTGTCTCTTCCTAAAACTGACTTCCTTTAAAGACAAAAAGGAGATTCACTCTTAGAATTAAAATCAGCAGATGAAGTAGGAAATATACATACTAAATTGGCAGTGGCTGTGGCAAGGAGTTCCTTAACTGCTTTTCTTCTAAGCTGGGGATGACAATCAGAA